ATTCTTATAAGGAATTTCGTAAACCCCTTGTGCCTCCAACTCTAGTTTTGGTTTGGCGTTTGAAAGTATTTGACCGATCTTTCTCGGGCGGTAAATGTTGTCTCAATGTTATGTTTTTTGAGAACTTTGCCTATTCTTTCGGTTGTCCCTTTGACGGAGGGAAGAAAGGCCTTCGAAATTGGTTTGTTGTTCTCGTATTTAACCGGCGTCGTGGTCTAAAAGCGTTTTTTATTATGGTTTTGGAGAATCCGTTTTACTTTAGTGTCGTTTGGATTTTTAGGTCTTCTTGTTTCTTGTGGTCATCATCCGCCAGCCTTTCGGATCGCGTGACAAGTGTCTTAATGACGGGTGGTGGTGAGACTGGGCGTTGAGGTAGCAGTCTACAGAAAACCAACACACACGGACAGCTACCTCAACGCCCAGTCTCACCATATATATATATGGGGGGTGGGACAATTCGATATTAAAAGTATATCTTTCACCTCTATAGCTAAGGACCAACCTAATATATAGAGATAAATATTTTGAATTATCACCCTGATAATGATTCTACAACTTTTTATAACTGTGTTTTTCAAATAACGTTCTTGTAGACACTTTGTAATTTAAACAATTAAGTTTATAATAATAATTATTCTGTTTAATACATATTTTGTACAAAAAAAATTGCGAAATTATATAATTTGTCCTGTCTTTATAAAATTGTAATCAAATTAGTTTTAACAACTCAACAAAACCGTAGAGCACCGGTGCATGTCAAATTTGGGTCATTAATTCATAAATAAGTTAAAGACTTCAAACGAATGCAGGATGTGAGTTTATTTATAAGAAAGAAATTATAGGTATTTTCAAGGTCATCAAACAAAATTAATACTTTAAAAGTGCTTAATAATTGATTGTTCCTTTTGTGTATCTCTTAGAAAATTATTGTAATTTTTTATTTACGAAATGGTCGACCAGTTGCAGCCTTGACAAATGACATCTAAATCATATTCAAAATATTTTTTGTACACATAAAATGTGTCTGGAATAAAATATATTACAATATAATGAAGGTTAATTAGTTAATTGTTAATTTTTTTGGCTGTTACTATGGAATAATTAAAAAATCCTTATTAAAGTTTTATTGTTTTTGATTTCATGTACTACAAGAACAATTATCCTTGAATTAATTAAATAATGGTACTATCTACAAAACATAAAAATATTATCATATTGATTGATCCATATTTGTAAAACTTTTAGAATTAAATGAAAAACTAATTACGTGATGATTAATAAAATTAAACTTGTGATTCCGGATTCTCAAAAAAAACTTCAATAATAATATAATAGAAACGGTTAATTAATGAGAAAATGTTAATATTTGTAAAGCAGGTAATGAATTAAATTTCAATTAGATAAATAATTTCCTGACCTTAACAAATGAATGAAGACCTCTGTTTCATCAAGATAACTAACGCATATTAATAGCGGTTTTTATATTTACATGCACTGAATTATAATACAATAATTATTACAACATTACCTAATGGAAAATTCATTTTTAGTTTATTTGTTTTTATTTATTTTGTAACTTTTTATGTACGTTTTATACGTCTTTTTAAATTATTGTATGCACCCGAATAAGAGTTATTGTAATATTTTTCTCCAATTATTCTCTATTCATTTTAATTAATTTTTATGTTTTTCAGAGTAAATAATATACACAGTGTTTATCCTTCTACGGAATAGTATTTTTTTGAGTAAAAGTTTTTAAATTTTTTTTTTTATTTTATAGTTTTATAGTTTACTTAATAAATACTAAATATTATAAAAATTTAAATTTTGTTTACAAATTCATGCAACATTATGTAAATTGGTTACATGCAAAATTTAGATGTGTAATATATGAGCCAACAATAGCTATAACTTACTATAAAGCTATAGTTGTAATTACAGGCCAAAACTTTGTTTAATATTTTTTTAGTTCCCATATCGCGTGGTACACACCCTGTAGACTCTCACTCCCACCTTTAAAAAATGTTTTTATGACTCTAAGTGATAAATACACAAGCTGTGACTTTATGGCGTTTTAGACACGGGCTGAAGTAAGCAGCAGTGGCTTTGGGTTTTTAGTTGCAATTGTCAAATGACTTACAATCGTCAAAATAAAGCGAATATTTGTTATCAAACAAAGGTTTCATTTAAAATAGATAAAAAGTTTTATTGTCTTTATAAAAAGTTTATTTACTCTAGTGTGTTTACAAATTGTGTTAAATTGTAAAAAAATATTTATAAAATCATTAAATAAAACATACAGACATGGTTTATTGACATACGTCAGGCATACATCCCACATAAGCCGAGGCGAGTACCTATATAAAGAAAACAGCAAAATGTAATTTCTGTGCTTGGTTCACAAATTGATGACGCAACGGGAAACATTCGCCGCGGCAACTATATAGTCGCCAATAAACCGCTTGATGACGCAACAGAAAAAATTCGCCGCGGCGACTATTATAGTATAATACTTCAATTAAAAAGGTTTTACTTACAATAAAAATCATTAAATATTATAAACGCTATTTTAGTCACAAACTTAATTTAGGCACGAGCGACCTTGCCGGCGAGTGCTTAATTAAATTAGTATCTTAAAAAATTTTTAAACGAGTTTCATACTATACTTTTTTTAAAACAAATACTTATTTTTATTCAAAAATTATTTAAATTAAATTTATGGATAAAACTAACTTCAGCCCGTGACTAAAAACTTGTTGCTAACTTCTGCCCGCCATAAAGCCACAACTTGTTAATGTTTATTTAAAAGATCATGGAAACATGTACGATAATGGGCGTTTTAAAGGTGGGAGTAGAAAAAAAAATTATAAATACAAATTGTTTTAGATAAAAGTTCAGAGTAACAATATTCCTAGATTTTTTTGTACAAAATTAATGAAAACTAAAATTTTGCAATAACTAAATATATACAGGGTAATCCAAAAGTAATGGGACACAGAGCAACAGCAGACTTTTTAAGTCGGAACAATCCCATTTCTGTGGGTAAAAGACATAAGGGGATAAGTAAAAAAAAACAATTTTTTATTAGAGCCTTAAACGTATTCACATTAATTGACATGTCATATGCTAACAAAAGCGTATACCCGCTAAACATAAATATATTTCCTGAATTAATGCGAACACGTTAAATTCTCTATTGAAAAATTGTTTTTTTTTTACTTATCCCCTTATGCCTTTCACCCACAGAGTTATTTAAACATTCCTCATCCAAAAATTTAATAAAAAAACAAGATACCTACAGGGTGTTAAAGTTTTATTTTTGTTTTAGAATTTTTCCATAATTTCTCAATGAAACTAGGTACACAGCGCGCTGCAGCGGTACAAAATTAGGGATTTAAGTGTTTTTTTTGGCGAAAATACAAATTTATAGATTTTTCATTTTACCAGTAGAGGGCGCCACCTACGGCACATCGTTTAGATGACATAATTTTTTTTAACTAAGTATATCGACTATTAAAAAATCGATTGGTCTACTTCTTTTACGTCAAAAAGGCATACCTACCTTCTTGAAGTGGCTAAACCCAAAGTTACCTTAATTATTATTTTTATACAGACTGTCTTGATTTAAAAACAATAATGACACTTGCAGAGTTGTGATAAATATTTTCCTAAAAACTATTTAAAAAATTGTTTAGAATTAATTGTGCCTCGATATAATTTATTTTTAAATAAAGAAATGCGATATATGTTGTGTTTTTACGCACAAATTATTTAAAAGTATTTCTGATTGATTAGGAAGAAATGGATCGTTTTTTACAAAATTAACCTGAAGTTCTCTTAACCTCCTGGTGCCCACGATCCTAGCATAAAAGTTTGACAGTTTTGTTTTACAGTAATCAGCGTTTTTCAGTTTTTTGTGGTATTTCTTTAAAAAAATTATATGCTCTACCATTAGTGCAACTTGGACTTGCTATGGTAATTTCTTTAATTTTTGTAGTTTCTGTTATTATAGTAAAACAAGTCAATAAAATATTACATTATAACCTTACGAAATTTAATACCAACCTATTTCAGATAAAAATACAATAACTATAACAATAATTGTTATAATAGGCCATCTTCGAGAAATAAACTGAAGCGTCAAATTTTTTGATACAATTGGCTCAAAATCTAACTACTGAGCAAAATATAAAAAAGTATATAATCTTGTCCAAGACCCCCATCTACATTAACAGAAAGACTAGAGTCGCCAATACTAAACGCAACTCAAAAGAGGTGGTATTCTTGTCCAAAAAAATAAGACAAGAAAACCATAAAAAGATGTGCAAAATTAATTTGCGATCTATATTTATTTCTCTTGTAAATTTTGTCTATTGGAAAATCTTTTGTTCTTTGATAAAAGTAATATTATTTAGTAATATTTAGTCATCCTATTTTAAAATAGTATTCCCAAAGGTCCAAACAAATGTTTTCTGCACAGTAATTATAAAAAAAATACAAGTTACAATAAAAAAAATAGCATGGGATCAAAATCATCCCACGCGCCCATTTCTGGAAGCCTTAGGGTTAAAAGATGTTGGTACCATAGACCCCTTACTGGGGAGGGGCACTTGAGGGGGGCCGGTACTTGTGGCCAAACCAATAGCAAGCAAATAAAATATAAACAAAATAACATAAATGGGTTGCAGATATAGCTACGTATTAAAACCCGAACATGTCCAATAACCCTATAGATATTATTCTTTTTTTTAATTAAGCATATTTAACACCATGTATATCTGAAACTGTTAAGTTTTTGATATAAGTTTATTAAGAAAATTAATATTATTTTAACGTTTTTTATCGATTCTCAAATTATTAAAGGTTCCTTTTGGACCACCCTGTATATCAATATAACAATTTTAAAAGGCCGTTAAATAAGTAACTAAAAACATAAAAATAAAACTAATAAAATAAACTATTAAAACCGTAGATCGAACATAAAATCATTTATCACTTACCTATACTACACGAAATCCCATTCATAAAAATCGCGACAAAAGCGAAAGCATATTTAACCATTTTCACTTCACAGCCCATTGTTACCACTACCTATGTTTACCTATGTATTAATTGTATTAAAGTGGTCGGCAAAATCGGCAATGGATAAAAATTTAATGCCAACTGACCTCCACTAAAAATCATCATACATGCGTAACACGGGTGTCCGTCAGGACTAAGTCGGTGTACCTTACCCCCACTTAATGATACTAATGATAATTAGAATATAAAAAAATCAACGTATTACTTCCCAACCGATGTTTAATAATTTTATGAGTTGAATGCATAAATAGTTTACCCGTAGGAACTTTATATTATTAAAACGGATATTGTTGGTCTTAATATATTTACAAATACGTAAATAAAGGTTGTTTTACTTAGTTTTTCGGGACGACAAAACAATTTTGATTTTTTTTTATTACGGCCTTTTGTCGGTTAAAAAACCATATACTTCAATAATATGGACCTGTACCGAATGAAAAAAAAAATGGAATTTGAAATTGACATTAATAAGATTATTAAAATTTTACATTTTGAGGTACCACCCTAGCAAAATTAGTATTCCTGCTTTCTATGATTGTACTTTGGTATGTAGAAATTAAATATTTCTTTAATAATATTTACTTTACTTACAAACAAATTATATATTAAAGTAATTCATACATTTTACATAAAAGAAGATTTTAACCATACAATACTAAATTATCCCGCCAAAACGTCTCATGTCTCAAAATGCATCTAACACCGTATTTGTAAATATTCCTGCGAATATAATCATACAAGTATTTTTCAGCACATCGAAAATATTCACTGATACCAATAATAATTTTTCCTGCAAGGTGCATGTACCCCTTTTGCAGGTATATGCAGATCATGTTAAATTTCCTGATACTGTTTTACATTCCTTTGGCTATCAGAAAATCATAATAAATCCGATCAAGCCCAAAACAACATTAGTAAATATGCTCCATGGAGCACATGATACTTTAGAGCGTTTCAACAAGAAATTACTAATACTACACGGAAAGAAATTTTAAATGCATTTATCACAGTTCATATGACTAGTCTTTTATCTAGAAGTTTTTAGGATAATTCTTCAGTATTGCAGTAATATTTCATTTTATAAATATAATTAATATAGTATGACTTACGATAATTGTGTAAGGATTATTATTGTAAATTTTCTCAAAATAAGAACAATTTATATCTCAATATAGCATTATTTCTAATCGCAAGTGTGGTAAAATAATTCATTTGCATTCTAAGAAAAATAATTTGAATACTGAAATTCTTTCTTGTATTTAATTTAGAAAAACGTACAGGGCCTAATTTGCTCCGCCAATAAGAGGACTTCGCGCGTGCACTTGTTACCAGAGACAGAGACCTTGTCTCTGGTAATTACCTAATTATTTTTGGTAGGTAAACTCCGAAGGAATAAATAAATTTAAAAAATAGCTGCGGTTGTGAAAAATCATTGCAATGATTTTTATTGCTGCGACATATTACTCTTCAGTAAAATAAAGGGCTAAGGCATGAGCGCCGGAAGGAATTCGTCTAGGGGGAGGGGCTTAAAGTTTTTTACAATTTTGATAGATATTATTTATAATAAAGTTGTACTGTAGAAGTTCACATTAAACTTAAGTCAAATAAAATATCATCTTTATATGTATATTTACCTATTTATTTATATTGGTACATATTGCAAAAAATACATCACAGTTTTTTGATAAATATATAAATATAAAAAAATTGTATCGCCGAGGAATCTCCTCTAGTAGTACAGCCGTCTTATGTATACGCTATACAAATTATGATAAATTAAAATATAACAAAAGAATAAAATACAAACATGAGTAAAAAAAAAGTTATAGCAATAACAAAAACTTAAACATAAAAAATGTGGTTGCACTGTAGCGACTTTTTTTAGGTAATACATATCGATGTTATGCTATAGCATGACATAGAGTAGTAATAACGGGATAATTATAAGCAATTTTTGTGTGCAAACACGTCTTATCTTTCGTTTTGCAACACGCCGCGGCGCGCCGCCTATTAGGTATTATGGTTATTTATATAAATTATGGAGTACCGGAATTTCTGGGTATGAATTTCCAGGGGGGGGGCGGTCCCCCCCTGCCCCTATGTAGCGGCGCCCATGGGCTAGGGGGCAAAAAGTATTTGTAGCCTTCTATAAAGCCACAAGGTACCTATATATTTTAAGATGCGAGGAGTCCTCGCAGAGGATTACGTTTTTAAACAAGCTCTAAATACTTACCAAAAATAATTATAAATTGACTATCTCAAAAACTTCTCTACTTTCATAACTTTGCACGGTATTTTCTGATTCAGCGGACAATTTTACATATGAATTGTCACCCATAATATAACAAGTGGTATGATTATCATCGATGATATTTTCGAATTGAAACCGAGCTGCAGATTTCACGAGTCCGCAGGACGAGTGAAATGTGCTGCTTCGGTTTTAATGAGTAAATATCATCGATAATTAATCATACCACGAGTTATATTTAGTGAGAAAATATAATGAATTTTAGGATTTAACGAATTTTTAGTTTGACATTTGAAATTAAAATGTGCTTTAAAATATAAAAAGACTTTAATAAACCTTATTTATTCAAACTTACCTTAATTTCATTATCGTTTACACCAACCCATCGATCTTTTAGAGTTTATAATTCATTATTTTATTAATATATATCAAAAACAGAATTTAAATGACAACACATGTCAAATCAAAAAAACGTCAAAATTCATAGTAACGTGTAAACAAGATGATAAAAATTATTGCCGCTGTGATAAAATACGTCACTATGGAATACTGGCATTTTATTGGTTCTAATATTAATGAATTGTATTGTCACCCATAATATAACAAGTGGTATGATTATCATCGATGATATTTTCGAATTGAAACCGAGCTGCAGATTTCACGAGTCCGCAGGACGAGTGAAATGTGCTGCTTCGGTTTCAATGAGTTAATATCTTCGATTATTAATCATACCACGAGTTATATTTAGTGAGAAAATATAATGAATTTTAGGAATTAAAAAATTTGTCAGATTGACATTTAAAATTAAAATGTGCTTTAAAATATAAAAAGACTTTAATAAACCTTATTTATTCAAACATACCTTAATTTCATTATCGTTTACACCAACCCATCGATCTTTTAGAGTTTATAATTCATTATTTTATTGATATATATCAAATACATAATTTAAATGACAACAGATGTTAAATCAAAAAAAGTGTCAAAATTCTTAGTAACGTGTTACTAAGAATTTTGACACTTTTTTTGATTTAACATCTGTTGTCATTTAAATTATGTATTTGATATATATCAATAAAATAATGAATTATAAACTCTAAAAGATCGATGGGTTGGTGTAAACGATAATGAAATTAAGGTAAGTTTAAATAAATAAGTATTGTCTATTAAATATCCGGGATTCAAATTGCTTTGGAGAACAGTTACCTATTAGTGGCTGCTTTTTCGCCATGACAATTAGTCATTTTTGAGTAATTCATTTTAAAAGAGAATGTTCCAAATAAACTATTTGCCGGATGATTTCCTTAGATACTATTGTCAAGACAATAGTATCCATGAAAGTTATCCGTCTAATGGTTTATTTGGAAAATAAATAACAATTGAAATATCGGCCCTAGGTAAATGGCAAATGTCAGGGTATTAATATTATTGAACCTGTTACTTTTCATGAAAAGTTGCTTCAAATGACTTACCGATTGATACACTAGAGTTATTAAAGTGTTTTTCATAACACCCTGTATATTATAAATTAGGGTTTTATATATTTTAATAAATATTTGTTTCAAATTTAGTTGATTTTACTTACCCTCGTCCCCTTTCCTGGTATAGCCTGTATTAATTTTTTAAATAATTTGATAGTAAATCCTTAATGAAATAGTAAAAAATAAATAATAAAAATTGCCTTACTGCAAGTTAACTTTTCGCAGAATATAATAACAACATATATTATAATGTCATTGAGTAAAGAAGAAGACACTTTACTCAATGATAATGTACTAATAAAAATGTCGAATATTTACTGAATGTTTTCGTCAAAATCAATTATTTTATTTATAGTTTAAGAATATCACTAAATAACAAGATTTATAATAATTAATATTAAGTATGCTTTAAAGTTATATCTAATAGCTTTTATTAATAATGTAAATATATTTTACACAGTGCTATTATAGTATAATACTGATACACGTTACCGTTCTTAAATCATGTATTTTTTATAAATACAAACTGTAAATATTGTAGGAAATCCTGGTAAATGATCTGCTAGAATATCCTAGTAAAATAAGTCGTATATTCAGTTTGTCACTATATGAGTCGCAAATCCTGGTAAATTGTGTCAAAATACTGGCAATTATTGTTAATTTTTTTTTTCGTGTACCCGCAGAAAATATTTAATAAAACTCAAACGATTTTTTTCAAATTAAAAGAAATGGATTACATAAGTGATTTTAATTGTTGTTGAACAAGAGGACATGTCTTCTAATTTGAGTTATTTTGAAATTTTAAGTGACCAGTATGTAGGTCAAAACGAGAACAACAAAATTGTTTTAATGGATGTTTGGTTTTCTGGTAATGCATCGTTTTTAATGGGTACAATTTTTTTTCCAAATAAACAACTTAACCAGGAAGGTCGAAATTTAAGAATGAACACTTTTCAGTATGAACCATATTCTGTTTTAGTTGACAGGGCCGGCTTAAGGGCGGTACATGCCAGGGACGGCAAATTTATCACATGCAAAACCGAAAACCGAAACTGTAACCGAATACTTTTAACACTTTTGACGACATTTTCTAATTCAGAGGAAAATTTCAAATATTAATTGACTGTTATTTAACATTTGGGAGGGGAGATACTAATTGATGTGGACTGCAGTTATGGTTGATTGGTTGGACAAAATTTAGCCTGCATTTATTAGTGGCTGCTATTTCGCTATGACAATTATTAATTTTTGACTAATTAATTTTAAGAGAGTAGATATCATTTAGTTTTAATTTGATTTTAAAATTAGGGCAGTCACGTTTGAATATAGTAAGACGTGTTTTATCTTATCGACCTTCTTAAAACATACAAGCCAAAACCCACAAATAATTACTCATAAAGTGAAAATAAACTACA